AAGAAATATAAGACTATTAAGTAAACAAATGAAAGGATGCTCATCATTAGTAATTAGGGGAATGTAAATTAAAACCACAATGATATACAACTGCACATATATTAGAATGGCACAAATAATACTAAATATTGGTTATTATATGGAGCAACTGGAATTCTCATAAACAGTTGCTGGGACTTCAAAATGGTTCAGCCATTTTTGAAAATAGTTTGATATCTTCTTATATAAAACTAAACCTACACTTATCACAAGATCCTACAATTATATTTTTATGCATTCATCCAAGAAAAAAAGTAGTTTATATTCATACAAAATGTTTTATTAGCTTCATTTTAGTATTCACCAAAATGTAAAGAATCTAAATGTCTTTCAAATTATTAATAAGTTAAATAGTACTCATCAGTAGAAAAACTACCTGTTACTGTGTCCTACACAAGGGATCAGATAACTGCGCAGAGGTGTTAACTGGCTGAGAAATTAAAACACTGAAATAATTAATAAGAAATAAAAGACAAACAGACCAATATCAATGGAGGAAATAGAAGAAGCCATCAAAAGACTACCAACCAAGAAAAGCCCAGGACCGGATGGGTATACAGCGGAGTTTTACAAAACCTTTAAAGAAGAATTAATACCAATACTTTTCAAGTTATTTCAGGAAATAGAAAAAGAGGGAGCTCTTTCAAATTCATTCTATGAGGTCAACATCACCCTGATTCCGAAACCAGACAAAGACACTTCAAAGAAAGAAAACTACAGACCAATATCTCTAATGAACCTGATGCAAAAATCCTCAATAAAATTCTGGCGAATCGGATACAAAAACATCAAAAAAATTGTACACCATGATCAAGTAGGATTTCTCCCTGGGATACAAGACTGGTTCAATATACGGAAATCAATAAACATTATTCACCACATCAATAGACTTACAGATAAGAACCATATGATCATCTCGATAGATGCAGAAAAAGCATTCGACAAAGTACAGCAACCCTTTATGTTCAAAACACTAGAAAAACTAGGGATAACAGGAACTTACCTCAACTTTGTAAAAGCTATCTATGCTAAGCCTCAGGCTAGCATCATTCTAAATGGAGAAAAATTGAAGGCATTCCCTCTAAAATCTGGAACAATACAGGGATGCCCTCTCTCACCACTTCTATTCAATATAGTTCTCCAAATACTGGCCAGAGCAATTAGACAGATGAAAGAAATTGAAGGCATAAAGATAGGAAAAGAAGAACTTAAATTATCACTATTTGCAAATGACATGCTCCTATACCTAGAAGACCCAAAAGGTTCTACAAAGAAACTACTATAGCTAATAAATGAATTCAGCAAAGTGGAAGGATATAAAATCAATATGCAGAAATCAAAGGCATTCCTGTATATCAGCGACAAATCCTCTGAAATGGAAATGAGGACAACCACCACATTCACAATATCCTCAAAAAAATAAAATACTTGGGAATCAACCTAACAAAAGAGGTGAAAGATTTATACAATGAAAACTACAGAACCCTAAAGAGAGAGATAGAAGAAGATCTTTAAAGATGGAAAAATATACCCTGTTCATGGATAGGCAGAACTAACATCATCAAAATGGTGATATTACCAAAAGTTCTCTATAGGTTTAATGCAATGCCAATCAAAATCCCAATGGTATTTCTTGTAGAAATAGATAAAGCAATCATGAAATTCATCTGGAAAAATAAAAGACCCAGAATAGCAAAAGCAATTCTAAGCAGGAAGAGTGAAACAGGCGGTATAGCGATACCAGATTTCAAACTATACAACAGAGCAATAGTAACAAAAACAACATGGTACTGGTACCAAAAAAGCAGGTAGACCAATTGTACAGAATAGAGGACACAGAGACCAATCCACAAAACTACAACTATCTTATATTTGACAAAGGTGCTAAAAGCATGCAATGGAGAAAGGATAGCATCTTCAACAAATGGTGCTGGGAAAACTGGAAATCCATATGCAACAAAATGAAACTGAATCCCTTTCTCTCGCCATGCACAAAAGTTAACTCAAAATCGATCAAGGAGCTTGATATCAAATCAGAGACTCTGTGTCTGATAGAAGAAAAAGTTGGCTCCGATCTACATATTGTGGGGTCGGGCTCCACATTCCTTAATAGGATGCCCATAGCCCAAGAGTTAATAACAAGAATAAACAAATGGGACTTACTTAAACTAAAAAGTTTTTTTCTCAGCAAGAGAAACAATAAGAGAGGTAAATAGGGAGCCTACATCCTGGGAACAAATCTTTACTCCTCACACTTCAGATAGAGCCCTAATATCCAGAGTATACAAAGAACTCAAAAAATTAAACAATAAGAAAACAAAAAACCCAATCAACAAATGGGCCAAGGACCTGAACAGACACTTCTCAGAGGAGGACATACAATCAATCAACAAGTACACGAAAAAATGCTCACCATCTTTAGCAGTCAGAGAAATGAAAATTAAAACCACCCTACGATACCATCTCACTCCAGTAAGAATGGCAGCCATTATGAAGTCAAACAACAAGTGCTGGCAAGGATGTGAGGAAAAGGGTACTCTTGTACATTGCTGGTGGGACTGCAAATTGGTGTGGCCAATTTGGAAAGCAGTATGGAGATTCCTTGGAAAGCTGGGAATGGAACCACCATTTGACCCAGCTATTCCCCTTCTTGGACTATTCCCCAAAGTCCTTAAAAGAGCGTACTATAGGGATACAGCTACATTGATGTTCATAGCAGCACAATTCACAATAGCTAGACTGTGGAATCAACCTAGATGCCCTTCAATAGATGAATGGATAAAAAAAAGTGGGATTTATACACAATGGAGTATTACTCAGCACTAAAAAATGACAAAATCCTGGCATTTGCAGGGAAATGGATGACATTAGAGCAGATTATGCTAAGTGAAGCTAGCCAATCCCTAAAAAACAAATGCCAAATGTCTTCTTTGATATAAGGAGGGCAACTCAGAACAGAGCAGGGAGGAAGAGCATGAGAAGAAGATTACCATTAAACAGGGATGAGAGGTGGGAGGGAAAGGGAGAGAGAAGGGAAATTGCATGGAAATGGAAGGAGACCCTCATTGTTATACAAAATTACATATAAGAGGAAGTGAGGGGAAAGGGAAAAAAAACAAGACAGAGAAATGAATTACAGTAGATGGGGTAGAGAGAGAAGATGGGAGGGGAGAGGAGGGGAGGGGGGATACTAGAGGATAGGAAAGGTAGCAGAATACAACAGACACTAGTATGGCAGTATGTAAAAACGTGGATGTGTAATCGATGTGATTCTGCAATCTGTATAAGGGGGAAAAATGGGAGTTCATATCCCACTTGGATCAAATGTATAAAATATGATATGTCAAGAGCTTTGTAATGTTTTGAACAACTAATAAAAAAAGCTTTAAAAAAAGAAATAAAAGACAAAGACACAGGAAAATAGTTTCAACAGTGAGGGCCTGGTGGGATGATTGGACCTGATAGGTTATCTCTGACAAAGATAGGTCGGATCTCTGCTCTGTGTGCTTTAAAATTTATAGGGGAGCACATCAAATGGATTTATTGTGAGAAAAAGTTTTTAAAGATAAATAAGAAGCTAGAGGTTGTCGGGAAATTGGCCTGATTGGAGACTTATCACTGGCACAGTAATTCTTCCTGTTCCAGGCAATTGGTACCTCCAGGGCTATTTGGATGCTTTGGTATCTTTGAACCTGGGGCTGTCTGAACCAATAAATTCCAGGGTATCACCGAATTCTCTTTGAGCAGGATGTTGCTAAGGCAATGGAGCAGTCTCAGATGACACACACAGTGAAATAGATGAACCTCTCATAGTATCATGCTCAGTGAAAGAAGCCAGTCTCAAAAGGGTTATTTTCTGTTTGATTCCATCTATATGACATTTACGGTAAAGGTACAACTACATTGATGGAGAACAGATCAGACTATACTGATTAAAGAACGAGGAAGTGTTTCATTAGAAAGGAACTAAAAAATAGAATTTTGAGGCATTTGAAAAATATTGATTGTCATGTTGGTCACACAACTCTGTGCATCTGCAAAAACTTATAGAACCATAAATAAAAAAGAGTGAATTTTACTCTATGTAAATTTAAAAATAAATATTTTATTTATTTATGTAAGATTTTTATTTATTAATGTAAATTTAAAAATAAATAAATATTTAAAAATTACTGTTTGTTGTGCTCCTCAATTTCACCCACTGAAATTGGTTCATTGCAAAATCATGGGTTGTGAAGGAGTTCAGTGGGGAACTGGGACAATTTCCAAGCCAATACAGAAATGTATCCTAGTAGCCTCCTGGGGGCTTGCTTGAAGATCACTAGCAAAGTGGAACTCCTATATTCCAAACTACTATAGATCACAGTAGATACTTTATGCTGTTAGCAATTTATTTCTTTATAGCTAAAATTGTCTTCCATATCATTGGCCCTTATTGGTCCTAGAATTATTCTTTGGAGCTATAGATAAAAAGGAAGAAGCCATCTCCTTCACCTTAGTGGTGGCAAAAGAATTACATGGAAGGAGAGACTTAAGTGACTCAGTCAGAAGCATCTCTTGGACCTGTAGTCTATGGAATTCTAGGCTATCCTGAGCCATGAGAAGCCAACTGGTCTGGGCTCTAATCTTAGAAATGCTTTTGTACAGTGGGGATCTGCCAAAGAGGAAGAATAACATACTCCCAGGCCTTCACCTGAGTGAAATTGGGAGGGCATAGTCTCAAGTTCCTTTTACATGATATTCACCTATTTCCTCTGATTCGTTTTTTTTGGCCTCTAATTTGATGAAACGAGTCTACAAACCAATTTTGGCAAATAATTAAAAATCCTTGAAGAGGAAGAATTCAAGATGGCTGTTTTAACATTCCCATTGGAGCCATGTTGTAGCCATCTGGGCCACCTGCCTGAGAAGAAGGGGTCCATTTCAAAAAGTACCTTGAACACTTCCAGGTGTCACCTTACCTGTTTGAAGTTGCCATTTTTCCTCTGCTCCCAATCCATCATATCATGAAAGATGGGGATCATGATATTCCGTACTTCTGGCTGTGGGACTAGTGTCACACCCAGAAAAGGACCAATCATTCCCGGAATAAAGTGGATCTTATGTTCACCTGAACAACAAAACCCAACAGATATTAGTTTATGAATGCTTTGTTACTTCCATGGAAGATTCCCAAGTGAGCCACAGCACATGTTATGATTTTTTACTGAATGCTTCTGAGAGTAAACTAAGCTCACTCCTATGGTTTTCTGTGAAACCTCCTCTCAGCTTTTTAGAGTTCATAGATAAAGTTGGCCCAGCCTATTTAAAGCAAATGTTCAACAGGCTCAAACTGCTTTTCCAATTTCCTGGGAAGTTCCAAAAACTACCTGAAAATCTCTGAGGTCAAGAAACAGAGTTTGCTATGGGATTTTTGAGTAACCTAAGATAGTTTCAGATGGTCTTTTCACAGCATTTTTTTTTAAAGCAAGGAAAAGTCATATATTTTTGCTTAAATAAAATTTACTTTTCCTGGGGTTTCTATCTCTAGCCTAGAGGCATTTAAATAGAAGAGGATATCTGGGCCTTGGTCCAGTTACCAGGGACCAGAAATCCATGGATCTTTTTAATGCTTGTGCTCCTGTATGCCAAAGAAGCCCCTCTTCTGAGCTGGAAGGAGACTCTTGCACATCCCTACCCTGACAGGATGGCCTGGAGACTCTTTGCCCATCCTCAAATCCCTTGTATTAAGATTATTTTTCTTTTCTTTCCTTCCTTTTCCTTTGTTCTTTACTTCTTTCTCTTTATATTTTTTATTGGTGCATTATAATTGTACATAATGATGGGAATTGTTGTTACGTATTCATACATGTACACAATTTAACAATATAATTTGGCCAATATCACTCGCCAATCACACTGCATTTCTGATGGCAGTGCCATACCTACTTGGATCAGCTCATCCCTCAGCTTCCTGTAGGAGGCCTTCCCATGGGAAGTGAGGGATGAACTTCCCTCTGACTGGCCTGTCATCTGAGTAAGGTTTCCATAAGTCAGGGCTAGCCCTGAGGACCATGGAATTGGACACTTTTGTTCCTTGCAGTGGTGAAACAGAGAACCATCTTCAGAGCTCTTCTTTCAGTCTTTCAGAGACTAAGGAAGAGACAAACTGTGGACTTGTATAATAACTGCTACATCAAGTAAAACCAGTTCTCAGGGACCACAGAATGTCATTTCCACCAAAAGCAATGAGGTAAGAATGGCTTCATCAGGAGAATCTAGAATCTTTTAAAATTTCTTCTATTTTGAAAGTCTATCTAAGAAGAAAATATTAGCCCTAAGGCCAATTCTGCATGTTCTAATCTTGGTACTTGATATAGTTGCCAGTCTCTTGTATTCCTGGAAATTTCACAGTCAACTTCAGGGTTCAAATCTATTACTGTTGGATGCAGAGTAACAGTGCTAAAGCTGGAAAAAGTCCGCTTTTGGAAATGCATCCCCACTCAGGCATGGAAGACCCTCTTACTGGAAGAAATGCCTCAGACCTTGTTGCTGCCTCTAGATTAGGAATGGAAATGGTTAACAGATGACTGTAAGATTTTATGACCATCATTCCTAGGGCTTCAGAGCCATGAACTTAGTTGAAAGCAGACCTCACTTGAAGTAGTAACAGTAGCTTCTCTAGCATCCTGACAGGCCACTCAGATCCCTATAATATAGGCTGGCCCACTTAGTCATCAGGGCAACTGAAAGATTGTCATGTATACCTAAAAAGAACAAATAAAAAATGTTGTATATAAAAAAAGATTGTACCAGAAATATTGATCTGACAAGTTTATATTTAAAAAAGTGGCTATTAGAGAAGCCGTGGCTAGATGGGTAAACAAAATCAATCGCATCCAGTGGCTGTAACTCCCTTCTCACATGTTCTTTTATGCAACTGATGTCAGGTATGTGATCTGGATGCATGAATACTATTAAAATTAATGTCCTTGTTCATGTGCTAGGTATTCTCAAGATCTATCTATGCTTTTGAGCCTACAACATCCAGACTGGGACATACAAAGCACAGAGCATCTTACAAGCATGGATTCTCAAACTGGAAAAATTACTGGAGCACTCATCTTATTCTTTTGACTTTAGTTCTCTAAAAAGGGACTGTGCATATGTAGTACTGGAGTCTTATTTTTTCAGCCAAACTCTCTCTGCCAAGAGCTTCATGCTTCATCCATCTGAAGTGTTACATTCAAGTTATATACGAATTTCTTGGGCCTGAACTAACACTCAGAAAGTCTGGGGGATGCTATTAGTCCTGGTAGTTTTTATTTGGCTTTGCAATATATGGAAGGGAATAACAGGGAGAAAAGACCTACCCAAATTCTGCCACATGCTGAACAGTTCATAAGCCATCATCACACGCATGTCCCCATACCTGGGAATAGTAACACAGGAGCCAATTGTTAGTGGAAAAAGGTTCACACCTCAAAACAGGGTTGCAAACCTTATGAGGCCAGTACTTCTGTACTGTCATTCCCAAAGTTTCTTAAAATACTAAGCCATTTGGTTCTTAATTGAACCCTTACTCTTGGTCTATTGGGAAACTACCCATGTGAGAACCCAATGGTCTTCCAAAGGAGCCTGTCACAGTAACACAGTCCCATCTGGGAAAGGGGTAGGGAGATGAACAGGAGACATCTGTCTTACTTATCTAGAATCTTTTTCCTCTTGGCTGAAGTAATGATTTCTAGCTGAAGGCTTGGCTGATTTATGAATAGAACTGCCAGACTAAAATAAGAATTCCACACCTAGAAACACAGAAAAAGAAGAATCATGTGACAATATGAGTACTTAACTTGAAGAGAGTTATTAAACACATGAATATAGCACAGAATCCATTTTATAATCTTAAGATCCTGATTTTTCTTTTAAAATATCTTTTCAAATAGCACCCTCACCTGTTTTAGTTAGTGACTCCTTTTTTAAAAAAATACCTTTATTTATTTATTTTTATGCGGTGCTGAGGATCAAACCCAGTGCCTCATACATGCAAGGCAAGCGTTCTGCCACTGAGCCACAATCCCAGCCCTTTAGTGACTATTTTTGATGCCAATAGTGTTGACTCTGGATAGAAAACATAATCATAGATGCCTGGCTCCCAACACCTCCAAGAGGGGAGCATCCAGAACATATTCTAATCAGGCTTGGAAGCTGTTTGATACTCTGAATATGTTAATAAATAAAAATATTATTAAATAAAAATAATATATTAATAAATAAAAATCTGTAATCATGGTTTTTGGCTTTCTAGGGTTATTGCAAAAGTAGTGATGGGTTTCAGGAGTTCCTACCTTGAAGTCAAAGTCTGTCTCTATGAAATTCTTGTGCAGTGCAGAGGATAGGTACTGGACAGTAGTGACTATAATACTGCATCAAGGAAACAAGATATTGATAGAATTAAAAGACTAACAGTAGCATCTGACAACTTAGCACCAGTTGTCTATAGCCCATGGGAAAACTTAGTACAAATTTCTCCCACATACATGGAGACTAGAAGATAGTACAAAAGAGAAGATGGTACAAATCCCACTGAAAACTAGCTGGTAAAATACCCCACAGTAGGTAAGATAAAATAGGGCACCAGTGGGCTCTTGATACTTCTTCCCTCTGGGCCTTATGGTTCTGAAAGATTTCTCAAAGAGTAACTTATAGTATTTTGGGGGAACTTTGGATAAGCAATATATATTATGATCACTATATAGAATTTAGGACATAATTTTATTATTTTACTTGATAATAGAGGTTTATTATTATTAAATCCTTGTTTTTGTCATATACTAGTATTTTCCTCTATGGGTAATTTTATTTTAGTTCTTGTTTTAGAATATTATTCTTATTCCTAGAATGGGCACTTATAAGAAGCAATGGGAGGCTATCCTACTAGAATTGAGAGCATGGGTTGAAGTAGAAAAGGAGTTAAGTAGGACAGGTTTAATATAGAGGACCTATGCTACTTGCAAAGGGACTTATGGGACTTATATCTAACAGTGGCCTCCTGGGCTTTGGTGTAGAAAAGGGACAAAGCAAAAACAGTGTATTAGATAGTCTACCATCAGAGGGGGGGGGATAAATTTTAAGGGTAAAAGTCTTGGAAGAAAAGGCTGCTCTTGCAAGAAAGACTGGAAAGTCTGAAGTGCCCTGAGCAGAGCTAAGAGAGAGAAACATGAAGAATACCAATGGAAAATCCATTATTTGAGGAATTATCTGTGCAACTTTATAATCATCCATCTTTCTGTTCTAGACCAAACATTTGCAGTTCTTAGGGGAAAAAGAGATTTTATAAAAGGCACAAAGTGGAAATATCATACTAGTACCTTGCTAATATAACTAGCAAATAATTTTACTATATTCAGTAGAATGCCAACATAAAAGATAGATCAGTGGGAAGAGGCAGTGGGCTAGAGAGTGGAGGCCAATTAGTCTGCTTCTGAGTAAATACAGATTCAAAGGAGCCAGCCCCCTACCACATGTATCACTCACCTGGCTTGCTAAAAGGAAGCATGGGCTAGAATATGAAAGGGGCAGATAAGTTAGGGTCAGGCTTAGAATGAATTCAATGTCGGTAGTCAGAGTTTCGCAGCCAGGTTTCAGGTGAGTAATTAGCACTGTCTATGGAAGGCAAGTACTATCTGGCAGACAACACGACTCAAATCAAGAGGAGGGCTTGGGACATTGCCTAAACCTACAGAGAGCAGAGGCCATTGGCCTTTAGGCAGGTCTTTCTCAAGGTGGAACCCTTCAGTGAATATTATATATTTCACATCCTTAACACATCATTTTCTATGCTCACTATACCAACATCTACCAGGCTCTTAGGCTATAGTTTTTGAATTATCTTTGATTCTTTCCTCTCTGTGTTGTTATGGTCAATGGCCAAGTCCTGCTGATTATGCCTCCAAACATTTTTTTTCCAATTGCCAATTCTTTTATCTTTCCATGATCTTGGCACGTCTCTCTCTCTCTCTCTCTCTCTCTCTCTCTCTCTCTCTCTCTCACACACACACACACACACACACACACACACAGAGTCTACTTAGTCTAAGAGACACTCTGTGAATGTTAGTGCAGGGCCCTTTCTTACTTGCTTGTTAGCAGTCTCATCACCATCCAGTCCCGAGGAAAGACACTCATCTTCATCAGGTTTCGGAACACACAGAAAATCTTCAGTAGGAATTCCTGACCACAGAGGAAAAGCTGATGTGAGATACCTCCACCACCACCATAGCACAAATTTCCTTATTAGGCCCTTCTTGACTTCTAGACCATGACAGTGTATAGAGCTGGTGGGTTGGATTCTGGTTCCCTCTGTGAGTTGTCTCTCAGAGGGAGGCAACTAAGAGACAGTGAATTCTGAGTACTCTCCCAGGCCAGATGGAAGCAGACCCAAGCTGGACAGAACTGAGGAAGTTCTATACCTACCCTGTCCCCAAAGGTGAATACCCAAAGCACAGGAAAGACTAAGGCCTAGCAGAATTGGTATCAGACTGAGTCTATGGATCTCCTTCTTTAAACCATAGCCCATGAGCACTTGATTGTACAAATATACTTTTTTGGATATTAAGAACACATTGATGGAAGAAGCACTTTAGGAATGATAGAGTAAAAACCTTTGAAAATTGCTATGGTGTATAGCTTAGTGGTAGAACATGTGCTTAACATGCCAAGGATCTGGCTGGGTTCAATTCCCAATACCAAAACAAACAAACAAAAAGCAAAAAAACCCCAAACCTTCTGAAAATCTACTCTCCTATGAAAGAAACAAAGTGATTTAAACTAAAGATTTACAATAATTCAGGAGTACTTATTCAGGAAAAATGTATAAATTTCAGAATAGTAGCCTTGAAAACAAGCATCTATAGAAATGCAGCAGTCATGAAAATAGTAGCCACTGGACAGGACAAAATGGTTTTAGAACTTCCAAAAAAGTCTTATTCCCCAGAGAATTGTATTATTTGATCTGACTGACACCTTCTCATAATAAACCTGTTCATAAGGCTTATCTTTATTTAACTGACTCAGCTTACTCTGTGAGAAAACTTCATTCCCACGGGCACTTATTGGAGGAAAAAATCAGCCATATAATTTAATACCCCAGTTGCATGAAGCAGCCATATCAGGGTAAACAAGAGAATAGCCAAAAAAAAAAAAAGTAAAAGAATGAGAAATCCATAAGGGGATTTGAAAAGCTTTGAAAAGCTCTAACATATTCTTGACAGCCTAGAAGGAAATGCAGCATTCCTAGGAAACATTCAAGAAGCCCAATTTCTCCCTTCTGGTTGACTATAAGGATATGTACAAGCAAGAATTGAAGGTTAAGGCAGAGCTATAAGAATGTTAAAGGTGAATATACAATATTCACAGAACTCCTTAGCAAAATGCAAAATGTGAAGATTTAATGATTTAAAGCATTTAAGAACATCTCTATCGAGTCATTAGCTAATCACTAAAGAACAAACATCATTTCCAACAAAAAACAATAAAAAGCAAGAACAAACCCTAGGGATGTGATATTTTCAGATAATAGGTTTAGGATCTGGAATGCTCCCCAAAGGTTCAAGTGTTGAAGATTTGGTTTCCAATGCAGCAGTGTTCTGATATGGTGCTCTTGGGAAGTGACTGGATCATAAGGGCTCTGACCTCATCAGTAGATTAACCCACTAATAGATTAATAATTTTATGTCAATATTGGGAGGTGGTAGAAACTGTAGGAGATGGGGCCTGGTTGGAGGAAGTAGGTCATCGGGAGTGTGCTATATATGTTCCTCAGCCCGTTCCTTCCTTCCACTCTCTGTCTCACTTGCTCTGCTTTGTAGCTGCCATGATGTGAAAAGCTTTTCTCCATCACATTCTTCTGCCATGATGTTTCTGCCTTTGGAGCCAGTTGATCATGGACTAAACATTCTGAAACTGTGAGCCAAACTAAATCTTTCCTCCAAAGTTGTTTTGCTCAGGTATTTTGTCCTAGTGACAGAAAGCTAACTAATACTCTGTAGTTGTCACATTATATAAAATGTCCAGTTTTCAACCAAAAAATTATAAAGCATAAGAAGAAATAGGAAAGTATGGTTCATATATAGGAAAAAGAACTCAAAAGAAAAAAGTATAAATGCAATGTTGTACCAAATAAACAATATCAATAAAATGGATAGAAATTATTTTTAAAGTATCAAACAGAAATTCTGGAATTGAAAAGTATAATAACTGAAGTGAAATTTCACTGGAAGGGCTCAGCAGCAGATTTCAGTTATCAGAAGACTCAGCAAACTTGAAGATGGTAAAAAAAATTGAATAGCGCCTCAGAGATCTTAACATTAAGGGTATACATATATACTTAATTAGTGTATCAGGAAGCAAGGAGAGAGAAAGAAAGAGGAAAATATTATTTGAATAAATAATGGTCCTGAGCTTCTCAAATCTGATGAAAATCTTTAATGTACACATTCAGGAAGTTCAATGAATTCCAAATGGAAAGAACTGAGATCTACCTATAGACATGTCAAAACTGTCAAAAGTAAAAAACAAAGAGAATCTTGAAAGCAAAAAGAGAGACCAAGAGTTGGTTCTTTGAAAAGAACAGAATTGGCAAAACTTTATTTAGACCAATCAAGGAGTGAATGGTAAAGATGAGGGTCTGGGGGGAGAGGGCTGGAAAGAGTGGGCTAAAGAGAAATATGAGCTAATTTCTAAAATTAGGGACAAAAGAAGGGAAATGTGAAATCTTTCTAGTTAGAGAACTAGAAAGAATTACGGTTCTGCTATGAACAAATGCATACCAACAAATTATATACCCTAGATGAAATGGACAAATTCTTAAAATGATACAAACTGCCAGAATTCATTCAAGAAGAAATAGAAAGTCTGAATGGATCTATCACAAGTGAAGAGATAAAATTAAAAAGATTTCACAAAAGATATCTATTTTTCTATTCTTTTAAAAAATATTTATTTTTTAGTTATAGGTGGACACGATATCTTTATTTTATTTTTAATGTGGTACTGAGGATCAAACCTGGTGCCTCACATCTGGTAGGTGAGCACTCTACCTCTGAGCCACAACCCCAGCCTCTATTTTTCTATTCTTTATTTCATTTATTTTTACTCTAATCTTAACTACTTTTTTCCCTTCTTTTTGCTTTATTTTTCTTTTATTTATATAGTTTATTCTTTTTTAAAGATGTTGATAGACAACTTTATTTTATTCATTTATTTATATGTGTCCTGAGAATTGAACCCAGTGCCTCACACATGCTAGACAAATGCTCTACCACTGAGCCACAACCTCAGCCCTGTCTCTAGTTTCTTAAAATAGAAGATAGGTTATTAATTTGAGAGCTTCTTTTTTACTAGATGACTTCCCTGGTGAAATCTATCTTATACTTAAAATAATTAATACCAATATTTGTATTTATTATTTTATGTGCCACTTTCAGTGTGAAGTGGCATTGTTCTATTCTGGTTTTGATTCCCTAATAACTAATGATATTGAGTATATTTTTCTTGTGCTTAATTAGCTATGGGTACATCTTGTTTGGGGAAATATCAATTCAAATTTTTTGCCTGTTTTTTTTTTTTTAATTTATTTGTTCTAATTAGTTATACATGACAGTAGAATTCATGTTGACACATCATACATAAATGGAGTATGACTTCTCATTCTTCTGGTTGTACATGATGTAAAGTTATACAGGTTGTGTAATCATATATGCACATAGGGCAATAATGTCTGATTCATTCTAATCTCATTCCTACCTCCAAGACCCCTCCACTTCCTTCATTTCCCTCTGTCTAATCCAAAGTACCTCTATTCTTCCCTAGTCAACCACCTTATTGTGAATTAGCATCCACATATCAGAGAAAACATTTGGCCTTTAGTTCTTTGGGATTGGCTTATTTCACTTAGCTTGATATTCTCTAGTTCCATCCATTTATTCACAAATGCTATACTTTCATTCTTCTTTAAGGCTGAGTAGTATTCCATTGTGTATATATACCACATTTTCTTTATCCATTCATCTGCTGAAGGGCAACTAGGTTGGTTCCTTAGTTTAGCTATTGTAAATTGTGCTGCAACAAACATTGATGTGGCTGAATCACTGTAGCATGCTGATTTGAAGTCCTTTAGGTATAAACTAAGGTGTGGGATAACTGGGTCAAATGGTGGTTTCATTCCAAATTTTCTGAGGAATCTCATACTACTTTCCAGAGTGGTTGCACCAATTTGCAGTCCTACCAGCAATGTATGAGTGTACTTTTTGCCCTGAATCCTCGCCAACATTTATTATTACTTGCATTCTTGAAATTGCCATCATGACTGGAGTGACATGAAATCTTAGTGTAATTTTACTTTACATTTCTCTCTAATTGCTAGAGATGTTGAACATTTTTCCATATATTTATAGACCATTCATATTTCTTCTTCTGTGAAGTGTCTGTTCAGTTCCTTTGTCCATTTACTGATTGATTGTGTTATTTGGTTTTTTGGTGTTAAGTTTTTTGATTTCTTTATATATCCTGGAGATTAATGCTCCCTCTGAGGGAGCTTGTAAAGTACATATCATAAATTCTGGCACATAATAGGAGATTAATAAATGACAGTCATAAGATAAAAAAATTTGGTGTCACATATAAGAAACTACTGCCTAAACTAGGGATATAAAGTAATACTTGTGTTTTTGTCAAAGAATTTTATAGTTTTAGCTCTTTTATTTAGGTTCTATAATACATTTTGAGTTTTGTATAAGCAAATTAGAAAAGAGGCAATTAATTTCTGGAAAAACAAAAAGTTCTACAAGAAAAGAAATATAATCAGAGTATAGCTTGCCACAGTGTTTACCTAGCTGTTAATAAGAAAGTCTATCTAGCAAGAATGAGGAAACACATATATGTGAGAGAGGAATGGTTCAGGAGAATCATTCCCTTTTTCCATGGAGGAAGAAAATAAATAATAACTGATAATATCTAAAAATTATCAGTAGAAGCTTCCTGAAAAACAGCAAGAGTTGAAAGTGGCTGCCTTTGGGGAATAGGGATTAACAGTTTGTCATGCTAAGGCAGGGAACTACTGTTTTATATAATAAACTTTGTAATATTGTATTGTCTGTTATTATTTTATTTTAATTTTTGTAGCACTGGGGATTGAACTCAAGGGTACTTTACCACTGAGCCACACCCCCAGCTCTTTTTATATTTTTGAGACAGAGTATGCTAAGTTGCTTAGGGTCTCACTAAATTGCTCAGGGCCTTGCTAAGTTGCTAAGGCTGGCTTTGAGCTTGTGATCCTCCTGACCCAGCTTCTAGAATTGCTGGGATTACAGATGTGCACCACCATGCCTGGCTCTGTTTGACCTTAAAGTCACATACACATATTTCTATAATAAAAATAACCATGTAAGCAAAAAGCATAAGTGTGTATGTATACAGATGTAATGTGTATATACACATTATTAAAAAGTAAGAGAAGAATGCCAGCCTGACTGATATTTGGTTAATATAACACACAAAAGATTAAAATGATCTAGAACAGTCAAGTCTGTACTTTCTAGGTCCACATCCAGCTTAGGTGCTGCTTGACCTGGATGTGGTTTTTGTTTCACTTCAAGGGCTGTGAATGCTACCAATCTGCAGAGACCCAAGTCTGTGGAAAGGGAGGCTTCATTAGATACCAGAAATTTACAACTGATATTTTTTTAACTGACACAATATGGTTAATAAAGTTTACACTAGTTAAAAACAGGGTAAAAACACAAGTTAAAAACCATGAAGTATAAGAGACTTGGTTCTGTATAAAGGCAGAGCATAGTCCTAAAGTCTGCAATAATCCTTTACCCAGGGAAGAGTGAATAGCATGCTCTAATGCAAAGGCACAAACCCCAGAAGTCTGTTACAGTTGATGCCTTGCTCAATTTGGGCAATGCTCTCCTACTGACTGGACCCCAGGCCCATTTCTCTGCACTATTTGCCCCTCAGTATCCAGCAACCCAAGGTAAGCAGTGTAAATCTTGGCTTTCAAAAATTATCTTCCAGAAATACATTTAAATGAAGAAAAGTTGTCACCATGATTATTATAGTTATTAAATATGTACCTGGTTTGCAGGGGCAAAATATAAAGGGGACTGCCAAGTTCTTAAGAAAGGGAGAAGTCTTGAGTTGCTGACCCAGTGTTGCCCAAAGTAGTCTCTAATGGTACATGGTCACAGAGCTGCTGTCAGTCAGAGAAAACTTGTCAATGTGGGGACACTGCCAGCTTTCTAGAGGCCATATACTTAGCTATAAATTTGGGCTGGTGAATCCTAAACACTTGGTAGTGATAGTCACTTGAACTCATGTCTCTGACAGGGAAAAGTCCCTGGGAATTTCTGACTACACTCTGCCTTTCTGGGGTGAAAGGCTAGTCAGTGCTCTACTTCTTACCTTGAGTTCATCCTTGCTCTGGAAGTTGTCCAGTAGGTGCTGGTAATGAGTGTCACACATTTGTCGCAGCAGTGACAGAAGGCAGGAGACATATTCTCCCTGGAAACCAAAGCAAAAAATCACTTAGCACAAACAATCACCAAGGCTGTGTTCCCCACATCCACAGAGGGCAAGGAGAGAAGGGAGGGTCTGAGATGGCCCCAATGATAATGGAAGAAAGGTGACAATTCTGATCCTGAAAATGAGCTTTCTTTTCTGGAAGGTTTGGGAGTCTTAATAAGGCATCTGCAGCATGAGGCTACTAAAAACCCTTAACTTATAGTAAAGTAGTACTGCAAAATAAGGAAAATATTTTCATCCCTTACCCCCCAGGAAAGTTTTGGTTAAATAGTCTTTTGTTGTCAGAGCACTATACTTAAGTCTGTAGGAGCTACTTGGAAGAGCAAGCATGTCCTTTTCTGAACAGAATTTGGACCTGTCCATCATGCTAGGATAGAGGAACTCTTCTTCAAGGACTTCCTGGGGACTTCCCAAAGCTTGCATAGGACAACTTGCCTGGGCAAACAGAACATGGCATATCAACATGACTGAGGGAACAAACTATGGCTTTAAATTGAAACTTAAGGATAATTATAAGTCTTTAAAATTTCTTTAAGTTCCAACTGGGGTTCACAGAAGAAAATCTACTCTAAGGACTCCAAAGATCATCTTGTAGCATTTTTAACATGGGGCAGTCAAGTATGGCCTCCTTCTAGAAGGCTGCCTCCTCAGAATGGAAAGAGAAAAGGACTTCAAATATTTCCAAACTAATGGGAATTTAACAAATTTTTTAGTGTCTCAAATCCCTCCTAGATTCCTGAAATTATCACACATATATGTGTGTAAAATATATACATGTATATGAACTGAAAAAATATATATGTGTGTACTGAGTTTTATCTGAAAAAAATGAGCATTATAAGTCACAATTCTTTTGTTGTGAGGATCAGATGAGTCAATATATACGAAACAATGAAGCACAAAGTCCTGTATACAAAAAAGTACCCAATAAATTAGTTATTATCATCCTTATTATAATTTATATAAAATAGATCACTTCATTTGCAATATTGGTTAAGTGCTTAAAGCAGGGTCTATCCCACAGCAAATACTATGTAAGGGTTGGTTAGAAGGATGGTTTACCAGGACACACCAGAACACATTGAGAGTATTCTAATCAGGGGATAAAGGAGCAGACACTCTTTCCAAGCCCAGTGCTCCAGATTACATGCCTACTCCAGGCACACTCCGTGCTCTCCCTAGTATACTAGAGCTTGGCATGCTCCCATAGAGGGTTTTTCTCAAAGAGAGCTCTGTAACCTCCCATCTGCCAACTGGAAGATTCTGCACAAACTGTTTATCTTGTTAGGGTTGAGAAGTTCACTCTGGATATGGGAATGGGGACTGAAGGCTCAAGGCACAACTCCCTGTCCCTCCAGAGAGGCTTTCCCAGATTGTTTCTCTCCTAACTGGATCATACAAAATCATTACTGAACAATGCCTAAGCAATTCTAGTTCAACAGTTTTCCTTCCACTAGAAACTTACATACAAAGAATATGGACAAAAACAACCAATTTGTAGATACTTGCAAATTCTGAGAAAATTATTCTGCCTGCACATGACTTAGGAGAGCATGTAGTAGAGTCTTCCTAGAAGAAATAGTCTATTTTTCACCTTCAACCTCTTAATACATTTACCACATCCCTGCTTCATTCCACATTATAGAGAATAACTTTGCTTAAAGGCAAAGGTCAACTGAAATGGTGTGCATTAAAACAGGACAAGAAGCATTTCCTGAATCTTCCCTAAAGTAGACTCCTGGGAATATGAATTGAGAGCTTTTAGAGTGGAGAGGGGAGTTAGATTCAAGAAGGGGAAGAAGGAGGCATGCTGACCATCATGCAGGAAGGGAGGCTAAGATGAAGATGGTGGGATAGTGAGATGGGAGATGATGTGGAGGAGCCCCAGGTTAGAAAAGAAGGCAAGAAAACCTGAATGTTAGTTACTAACAGTGATCTCGGCTGTGCACTGCGGGCACCGCTGCCCTCTTACCGCCTCCTGAGCGTGCGATTTGCTCATGATGGTGAGCAGAGTCTGCAAGAGCACGTCCAGGAGGCTCTCCACCATCATCTCTACCTCCTCCATGACATCTGCCTCCTGGGGTGAGCAGTGAGAAAGCATACCATTAGCACCAGGCCAAGCTGATGTTTAGCTGGCAGCGCTTACTAATTGAGCCATATCAGGAGTGGTCTTCTGACTGGATTCTTAAAATTGAGCTCTTAGCCTCATCAATGTGTAGTACCTGCCTTCCTTCCTTTCCTCTTTTCTTCCTCCCACCTTTTTTGCTTTCTTTTTTTTGGCATCAATTTCTTCCCTTTCTTTAGCAGTGAGCTGCCTATTCCCTCAGATATGACCTTGAGCTATTAGTAGATCTTATTCACTGCTGTGGCTTTTCTGAGGCCTGTTGGGAAGGAAAGCTGCCAAGTCTTATCTGGAGCCAAGAGCAAACAATAGGATTACTATCACCATCAAAGTTACTCTTGAGAAGCTAGGCCTCTGTCATCAGATTTACTTTAAGTCTAGACATCAAAGCTCCTCTTTGGGTCCTGTCTCCTGATCAAACCAAACATAACTCTTTCTTTTAGTTGTCTCTTCTGCTCTACCTGGATCACCTAGCTTCATATGTTCTTATTACCTGGCCCTTGGCCTTCAAATGCACTTGAAATTCTATTCTCTAGGAGAATTAATTTAATAAAATGGTATATAAAAGCCCATTCTTCTTCTTAATCTTTCTTTATACTTTCCAAATTTTCTATAAGAAATATGCATTTCTTCTATTATCCTAAGTATACAAAATAAATATTATAAAAATTATTACTCTCATCCATATCTTTCTTTCATTTTTTTCTGTACCTCAATTCCTCCCCTCCCACCAAATATCTCTTTTTAATAGAAGGAAAAGAAATGAAATAAAATAGATAAAAGCATTATTGGTTGAAATCTGACCTATGAAATACAATTCTATCATCTAATAGGGCTTAGAACTCTTGTGGCTAATATTTTCCTCTTGAATATCCTGACCTTGTCTGGCATGAGGTAGGAATGCCATATGGGTGGAATCAAGCTGTCAGGAAGCTGACAGAAAAGTCTGAATGAGCAAGCTGCCCCTTAGTCTGGGTCTGCTTCTTGTGTTCATGCCTAATATTCTAGAATTAACTGTTTTGATAGAATCCGAGAATGGCAAAGGATTGGACTTTCTGGTAGTAGAGGTTATTATATTTCTGGGTAGGTTTATGGTAGTGCAACTTTTTAAAATAGCAAGAGCATGTTGAACGGAGAAGCCTGCTGGGCACACATAGCACTTGTTCACTTGGATACCTTCCTGTCACTGATGAAAGCATCTGACTGAGAGGCACACAAAGTGATCTTTGTTGGTCAGCATCTGGCTACAGAAACACAAGATTAGGGCAGAACTGAGTAGGGTGGAGTGGGTGTGGGGCCACTACCAGAGAGCTGGTCTTGATGATGGAAAAGATGCTGCCGAGAATTCCTGAGCAGATTAGTAGCTCTTTCTGCTGTCTCAGGTGAAGGTGAATGTGATGGAGAACCACAGGAAGCAGGATGCGACGGGATTCTGGGAGAGAAAACACACAGATGAAGAAGCCCTTCAGAGGAGAACTATCTACTGCTGGAAGTTGGTGACATTGTGAGATTTAACTTGTTTCAAAGCAGGTGAGGTTGAAACTGGATCAAGAGTAGAGGTCACTCCCTACCCTTACAAGGGCCTAAAAGCTTGGTGTCTGGAAATTATAAGTCATCCTACAACACTGTTCTTTATCTTTCTTTCCTTCATTCTCATTTCAAGCTCCAGCATCCACAAAATTTTATCCAGGATGAATGGTAGGAGTCTGAGTGCAAATGAAATCTCTTTAATGACTAGACTCCAAACTAAAAGCAAAGTTTATTTTACAGTGGAAACTCCATGTAGATGTTACACTTACCATGAACAATAATGACTAGATTTAGAGGCTTGATACAGATTACTGACTGACCCTCTTCATGCCCCTCCCATTCTGGTGCACATTTACTTCAAGGCATCAGGCTTCCTCTTTCCCCCCAACAGGGGGGAAATAAATAAATAAATGGAACAGGAGCACATCTTTTGTCTTGTCATAGACTTTGATAATTAGCCAACATTTATTGTCAATCAATCCTACTCTGTACATTTAAGTACTTCTATTTTCTCTCCCAATGCTACCCGAATAGCATTTTCATCAGAAGTTGTCTATATTTAGAACTCTTATTCTGAGACCTTAGGCAATTTATTTCTTCCTCCATGGGTTTGATTATTGTCATCTGTTCATGTTCTCCTCTAAACTTACTTTACAGAGTTGATTAGAAGACAAAGTGAAATGCAAGTGTGAATGTGTTTCTGGTACCTTGTACTCCTATGTGGTCCATGATTGTGTGACCCTGGAGGTTTGATAATACCTGGCCAGCATGATTTAGTAAGATTATCAGTAACACAAACAAGCCATGGTATTTGGATTTATTACTCATATTTGACAATATTAAAGTACTTCATATGAAATTCATAAAGTTTTTTCAAAGACAAATTGCTTGATATATAGGAGATTTGGCACTGCCTTGCCAAATACTTATAATATTTATAATATGTTCAAAGAGAATAAAATAACAACTATTCTGTGTTTAAAAGTCTGCCTAGATAAAGGAAAAGTTAATACTGTACTTAATAGACCAGGATACCAACATACTAGGATTTATAACAATAAATAGCTACTTTCAGACAAAATAGTCATTTGTTATTTGAATCTGCTGAGGAAGACACCAAACTGGTGTATACTGAGAATATGCATTGGTTAAATGACATCACTGGTAAAGAATTTCTTTGCTTCAGGGAAGATAAATACAAGTGAAATGCAAATGAAAATTTGGTGGTGGCTAATCATCTCAAAATTCAATTGGTCTAGTGCCACATACATTTTCAGAAAAAAATTTCTTAAATGATTATGTAAAGCAGTTGAGCACATGCAAAAATACAAGAAATAAAGAGTATAAGTGTGGGTAGTCTGTGGTTTTCCTTCCCACATATTTCAAAAGCATCTTCTTTCAAGCAATGCACAAAGCTTGGGTGGGCACTGGCCTTGGCAACAGTGTGTCTAAACCATTGATGACATTATCAATCAAGGAGCTAGAGAAGAAAGCAGTGTTTACCATAAACAGTTACTAGTGAAAAAAGGCTGAATTTCTTGATGGCAGCTTTATTATCAGCAATACTGTACAATGTCAGAGATAAGTCAAAGGGCATACCTATTTAGTAGTTGAAGTATACATTGCCACTGAGCTGAGGAATTATTGTTCTTATGTTTTAAAATCAAATTTAAAAAATTAATCAACCCAAATTCTAATTATAAAAATTCTTCTGGGTGCAGGGGCAGATGCCTGTAATCTCAGCTACCTGAGAGGCAGAGGCAGGAGGATCACAAGTTTAGGCCAGCCTGAGACACAGATGTGCCCCAGGATGTGAGTACTAGGAATAAACTGTAAGACATAAGGCCTAGATCTTGGCCGCATTTCTAAACATAATTCACCAAAAATTCTATACTTTAAGAGTGATTTTTTTTTCTTTGTATCTGTTTATTTTTTAAATTTTGAGACAGGGTCTTCCTAAGCTGCCTAGGCTGGCCTTGAATTTGCCATCCTCCTACCTTAGCTTCTTGAGACGCTGGAAGGGGTTGCTGGTTTTTTATACAATGATTGATAAAACTGATCCTTTGATTAGCCCCGAAGGGGAACAATGTGAGTCTGACTGACTCATCCTAAACGGATCTACCTGAAAAAGAAAACAGGCGGCTGTCCACTGTTCTGGCGATGGACTGAAGCTTCACCACATCCATGGACTGTCCGATGTGCACAGTGCTTGGCATGCTCCCTAGAGTTCCTCTCACAAACTCTGCCACCTCTTGCACAGTGAACATTTGCAGCAGTTCATCAAAGATAGTTGGGAAAGAATTGAGGAGTGCAGCCTGCAAAAGCAAGTAAATCTCTGATTAGCTCAGGTCTGCATCCATCTTACATGCTCAATGATATGAGGTTGAAAAAAGCTGAGAAGGTATTGCAGCACCCCTGCCTTGGGAGGTTCCTTCCTGACCCTTGATTCTATCCTGGCCTATAGCACTTCTGGGGGATGGAGTAACCAAAAAGGAAAGAAGAGACTTTAGTGGGACTAAGGCCACTTGAAGCTTTCATAATTTGCCAAGGTATTTGCAGGCAAGAGAAGGAAGTATAAAGAGAAATTTTCTCAATGTGGCTTACAAACCATAGTTATTTTTGCTCAAATGGATTTAAATTTTTTGTTTGTTTTTATGATCAAGCTTGTGACTTTCTTATTTTAGTTCCAAACTCAAATCAGGAACCTCTTAAAGAAAATATGACAGAAAAAGCTGAGGGTCTTCAAGTAGCATCAGCTGTTCTCCACTCACAGCCCTGTAGTCAGCATTCTAGCTCTGAGACCATTTCCCCAGGATAGCGATGTTTGTATAAAACCAAAAAAATCTGAAGACTCTGCAAATTATTTTCTTCATATGTGATGTGTAGCAGTCTCAAGTATAAATTTAAAAGGATGGGAAATGTATGGATTTAATCAGTCATGTACTCTTAAGAACTGATTATATTATCTTAAGAGTTTAATGACTCTGATGACCTAGGCAAGGAGATCAGGTGTGTGTGCGTGCATGTGTGCATACAGGCTTCTAGGGTCAGAGTTCTGGCAGACACATACAGTGGCCTCTTGAGGATTATCTGGTAATAAAGATAATTCCAGGCCCTTAAGGCAGTAGAACACTTTAGAAGAAAGATAATGGGGTTTTGCACTAGACAGACATGAGGTTCTTTAAGCCGGGTATGATGGTGCACACCTGTAATTCCAGCTGAAGAGGAAGTAGGACTGAAGAGGCTGAAATAGGACTATCATAAGTTTGAAGGCTGCCCGGGTAACATAGTAAGACCCTGTCTCAAAAAATAAGTCTAACCAGCTGGGGTTGTAGCTCAGTGGTGGAGCACTTGCCTCACATGTATGAAGCAAGGGTTGGATCCTCAGAACAATATAAAAATGAATAAATAAAATAAAAGTATTATGTTCACTTACAACTAAAAATATTTTTTATAAAAGTATACCAAAAAAACTCCCCCAAAAGACAGCTAAAAAACAACAATACAAAATATCCCTGTGACATAATCTCTGTTGAATTACTGTCTCAGTTCTCTCATATATAAAATGGGATGATACTATTATTTATCTCTTAGTATTGGTATAAAGAAAAAATAACGTGCATAAAATTCCAGTAGAGTGTTGAAACAAAATAGGCCTTCAATAAATGATCTTATTCCCTTCTCTTGTCTAATAGAAGCAGCATGACAGAAGCTTTTTGCACTTCCCAGTACTCTTATACCATTAACCTAGGATTTAAAAAGGGAAATGGAAGAGAGCTCATTCTTCCCAAGTGGCAGGAGGCGGGAATAGGACATTTTCATTGATTGCTTCATCAGGCAGTATACACTGGCTTAGAATGAGTGAAAATTTATGCCACGGGGAAAAGCCCAACACACTGTTGTCTATGTTCAGGCCAGGTTCAATTGAAGAACTTATACAAATTCTACCTGCAGATTCATAACTCTGTGAAAATATCAAGGAGATTGTTTTTCAGTAATTAGAACCAGCTCAAAAACATATAAGCAGTTAGTAGATAAAAAAAGAAAAAGGGACAGGGGGAGGGAGTAGGCACTTCATAATTAATAACATATAGTAGCTGATTTGCTCTTTTAAAAGGTGACATCTTCCATAATTATGTACTAGGACAGAAGGACACCCATACCCTGACATCTTCTAGTGGCCATAATCAAAGGTATAAAGTCTAATTAAACAAAACACTTGCTGATAGTTCTGAAATTCATGAAACACGATCCTGGCACCAAACAGGTTTGATCCTGACACAGGTCTAAGCTGGGACAAGGCTTAAGCTATTTATCCAGATGAGTACAGGGCATTGTATGCCATTTATACAGGCCATTGCCAAGTTCCTCAAAAGCATATCAATCTTGTTTTGTTAGCTATTAGCAATCTCCCCTTAACCCTTTTGGGTGAAGCAGATACCCTAGGTGCCTGTTGGAAGGAATTGATGGGCTGCAGGAGGGGCAGGGAGAGGAAGATGAGTTGCTTCAGGTATTTAGAATGAAAGACTATGGAAGAAATTTGCCTTACAGAGGCACCTGAAAACCTTGAGGTATTTACTTATAGAGACTAGCTCACAGGTGATCACTTGCCTCTGGGCCAAGGGGCATAAAGGCAATTGGAATTAAGGGTAATACATAGTCAAGAGGAAAACAAAAATAGTAGACTATTCTAAACTTAAATGAGATGAGATACACTTGCACACAACATAGATGGCAGTGACAGAATGAATGAATGTGAGAGAGGCTACCTGATCTTTGCTGACAGGTTTTGGTGTAATATTGGCTTCAAAAAACTATAATTCATTAGAAAAATTCCAACATTAATTTTGTAAGAGAAAATAAAATAACCCTCTGTGACTGAAGAAATAAATCTTTGATTCATTCTATTGCAAAGTTACATGGAAAAGATAATAGATTAGCTGGATAGGCAGCAAACATGAGGAAGTAAATTTTCTTCCAACACTGATATTTCTAATAAAAGCTAATCCTAATTTTTAGCTATTGCTTTCAAGTTATTCCTCCTGTTTTTTTGTATTCCACTCTAAATATCTGGAATGGACACTTAATGGTCAAAAATTAAAAAAAAAATAATAGTGACAAGGTAGAAAATAAAATTCCCCATACATTCTAAATATACTTGATGAATAAGATGATCAAAAAAACCCCCAATAGTATGGTGGTTAACTAGATTTGGTAAAGGGTTCATGAGAATAATTTTGTATTGCTTTTCAAACAGAAAGTCACAAAGCTGTTTTATACTTGGCATGAGGCATAATTGTTTTCCAAGTAAAAATAGCATTTTGTTCTATCAGGTGTTTCCTTGTAAATTGTAACTTACCCAACACACAAGGTCCTGGCAGGGCTTTTTCAACTCTGGAAGCCAGAGGACAAAGAAACCACTTGCTAAGACAGACTAGGAATTTAGCAGCAAAACTTCTCTACAGCTCACAGACCTGAGTGAAAAGGAGTGTTTCTGAGTTTCTGCTGTCCAGACTGAGCACAAACCGAATGGACTGGAAAAGCTCTTGGATGCTTGACCGGAATTGCTCCTCTTCCATCCCACACGTGGCTCTCGAGTACAGGATCCGTGACTGAACAATGAATTTGAAAAGGTACTCCAAGGCCTGAAAATGCGGGAAGAAAAAGCGATGGAGAGGTGTTGAAGTTGCTCAGGAACTCACATAGCAGAAAACTAAGGGCAAACTAATGACAAGTTCTACCCTAAAGTCAGACGATGGGCAATTCCAACTATGGAGACAGGCACTATTTTGTCTGTTTTAAAGATTTTTTTTTTTAAAGTTTCAGTTTCATAGCAGATTGATAAGAAGGTACAGAGATTTCCCTAATCCCCCCACTCCCATACTGCATAACCTCTCTCATTACCAATATGTCCCACCAGTGTGGCATATCTGTTATAATTGATAAACCTACACACCATGACACATCACTACCACCCAAAGACCACTGCTTACATTAGGGCTCACTCTCAATGTTGTGTGTTCTGTGGGTTTGGACAAATTATAACAATATTCATCCACCATTATAGTGTCACAGAAGTATTTGTTACCCAAATACTCTAAATTCTGCCTATTTAGTCCTCTCTCCCCCTTAGCCCCTGGCAAACACTGATTATTTTACTATTTCTGAAGTTTTGCCTTTTAAAAAATATCACATAGTTGGAATCATTATAATCATCCAGTATTGCAATGTAGACTTATTAGATTGATTTCTTTCAATTTATAGTATGAATTAACTTTGTACATGTCTTTATGGCTTGATTGCTCATTCTTTTTAAAGTACTGAATAATGTACTATTGCCTTTGTATCATTGTAATTTTTCTTCTTTTTATTTTTGCTTCTTAAAAATTACAGCATTACATTCATTCAAAGAATAGAAAGTCAACGAATAAATAACCTAACATTACATCTCCAAGACCTATAAAAAGAACAAATCAACAGTAAAAGTAGAAGACAGAAAATAATTAAAATGAAATTAAATGAAATTAAAATAAAAGAAACAATCCAAAAATTGATGAAACAAAAAGTAGGTTCTTTGAAAAAAAAATAAAATTGATAAATGCTTAGCTAAGCTAATAAAGAGAAAGAGAGAGAGAAAACTCAAATTACTAAAATTTGTGGTGAGAAAGGAAACATCATAATGGACAATATGAAATACAGATGATAATCAGAAACTATTTTGAAAATTCATACACTAATAAAACAGAAAACCTTGAAGGCATCGACAAACGTCTAGAGATATATGACCTACTCAAATTGAATCAGGAGGACATTGAAAATTCAAACAGATAAATTTCAAGCAATGAAATTGAAGATACCATCAAAAGCCTACCAAGAAAGAAAAGCCCAGGAGCAAAGAGATTCTCAGCTGAGTTCTATCTGGCTTTCAAAGGATAACTAACAACAATCCTCCTCAAATTATTACATGTATTAGAAAAGGAGGGAACTCTTCCAAATTCATTCTATGAAGCTAGTATCACCCTGATATCAAAATCAGACAAAGACACATCAAGGAAAGAAAACTTCAGACCAATATCCTTCATGGACATTTTATAAAAAACATATTTTATAAAAAACTGAGAAATCAAATACAAAAACATATTTAAAAGGTATTGCACCACGATCAAGTGGGGTTCATTCTAGGTATGCAAGGTTAGTTCAACATATGGAAATCAATAAATGTAATTCATCACATCAATAGTCTTAAAGACAACAATAACATGATTATCTCAACAGATGAAAAAGAAAAAGAGAATAGAAAAAGTATTTGGCAAAATACAGCATTCATTCATGTACAAAACACTAGAAAAACTAGGGATAGTAGGAACATACCTCAATATTGTAAAAACTATATATGCTAAACCCAAAGCTAACATCATCCTAAAAGGAGAAAAACTGAAACCTCTAAAAACTGGAACAAGACAGGGATGCCCTCTTTTACCACCTACACTCTAATTACTCCAGCTAGATCCTGGAAACTCTAGCCAGAGTAATTAGAAGATTAAATTATTATAATTAAAAAGGATACAAATAGGAAAAGAAGAACTCAAACTATCCCTATTTGCTGATGACATGATTCTATATTTAGAAGACCCAAAAAACTCTACTAGAAAACTTCTAGAACTCATAAATGAATTCAGTAAAATCGCAGAATATAAAATTAATACCCATAAACCATATGCATTTCTATATATCAGTGATGAATCAATTGAAAGAGAAATTAGGAAAACTACCCCATTTACAATATCCTCAAAAACAATAATATGTTTGGGAATCAATCTAACAAAAGAGGTTAAAAACCTCTACAATGAAAATTACAGAACTCTAAAGAAAACAAATGAAAAAGACCTTAGAAGATGGAAAGATCTCTCATGTTCTTGAGTATGCAGAATTAATATTGTCAAATGGCCATACTACGAAAAGCACTATACATATTTAATGAAATTCCTGTTAAGTTTCCATTGACATTCTTCATGGAAACAGAAAAATCTGTCATGAAATTCATTTGGAAAAACAAGAGACCCAGAATAGCCAAGGCAATCCTCAGTGAGAAAAGTGAAGTAGGAGGCATAATAATATCAGAAATTAAAGTATACTACAGAGCTATAGTAACAAAAATAGCATGGTACTGACACCAAAACAGACATGAATACCAATGGTACAGAACCAAATACACAGAGACAAACCCACATAAATATCTGTTATTGCATACTAGACAAAGCTGCCGTGAATATACATTGGAGAAAAGATAGCCTCTTCAACAAATGGTGCTGGGAAAACTGGAAATCCTATCTCTCAATTTGTACAAACTCAACTCAAAGTGGATCAAGGACCAACCTAGGCATTAGACCAGAGACCCTGTACCTACTATAAGAAAAAGTAGGCCTAATTCTCCATCATGTCAGTTTAGGAACCAAATTCCTCAACAAGACTCCTAAAGCACAAGAAGTAAAATCAAGAATCAATAATTGGGATGGATTCAAACTGAAAAGCTTCTTCACAGAAAAGGAAACAATTGAGAATATAAACAGAGAGCTTCCTAAATGGAGAATAACTTTGCCATCTTCACCTCAAATAGAACATTAATTTCCAGGACATATAAAGAACTCAAGGGTTCTGTAGTTTTCACTGTATAGATCTTTCACTTCTTTTGTTGATTCCCAAGTATCTTATTTTTTTTGAGGTTATTGTGAATGAGGTAGTTTTCCTCATTTCTTTCTAAGAGGCTTTGTCACTGATATACAGAAATGCCTTTGATTTATGGGTGTTGATTTTATATCCTGCTACTTTGCTGAATTAATTTACTAGTTCTAGAAGTTTTCTGGTGGAGTTTTTTGGTTTTTTTAGGTATAGAATCATATGGTCAGCAAATAGTGTTAATTTAAGTTCTTCTTTTCCTATACATATCCCTTTGATTTCTTTTGTCTGTCTAATTGCTCTGGCCAGTGTTTCAAGAACAGTGTTGAATAGAAATGGTGAAAGAGGGCATCCCTGTCTTGTTCCTGTTTTTAGAAAAACCTTCAGTTTTTCTCCGTTTAAAATAATGTTGGCCTGAGGCTTAGTGTACATAGCCTTTATGATGTTGAGCTGATCATATGATTCTTATCTTTAAGTCTATTGATGGAATGAATTACATTTATTGATTTCTGTAGAAGATGGAAAGATCTACCTTGCTCTTGGATAGGCCAAATTAATGTTATCAAAATGACCATACTACCAAAAGCACTATACAGATTTAATAAAATTCCGATCAAAATCCCATTGACATTCCTCATAGAAATAGAAAAAGCAATCATGAAATTCATTTGGAAAAATAAGAGACCCAGAATAGCTAAATCAATCCTTAGCAGGAAGAGCAAAGCAGGTGGCATCGCTATACCAGAACTTAAACTACACTACAGAGCAATAGTAACAAAAATAGCATGGTACTGGCACCAAAACAGGCTGGTAGACCAATGGTACAGAATAGAGGACACAGAGACTAACCCACAAAATTACAATTATCTTATATTAGACAAAGATGCCAAAAACATGCATTGGAGAAAAGATAGCCTCTTCAAAAAATGGTGCTAGGAAAACTAAAAATTCATATGCAACAAAATGAAATGAAACCCCTATCTCTCACCATGCACCACTTAACTCAAAGTGGATCAAGGGCCTAGGAATTAAACCAGAGACTCTGAGTCTACTAGATGAAAAAGTAAGTCCTAATCTTCATCATGTGGGATTAGGCCCCAACTTCCTTAACAAGACTCCTGTGGCGCAAGAATTAAAGCCAAGAATCAATAAATGATATGAAATCAAATTAAAGTTTTTTTTTCTCAGCAAAACAAACAATCTGTGAGGTGAACAGAGAGCCTACATCCTGGGAGCAAATCTTTACCCCTCACACATCAGATAGAGCACTAATCTCTAGGGTATATAAAGAACTCAAAAAGCTAAGCACCAAACAAACAAATAACCCAATCAACAAATGGGCCAAGGACAAATATATTAAAAAATGTTCAACATTCCTAGCAATCAGAGAAATGCAAATCAAAACTACTCTAAGATATCATCTCACTCCAGTCAGAATGGCAGCTATTATGAAGACAAACAACAATAAATGTTGGCGAGGATGTGGGGAAAAAGGTACACTCATATATTGCTGGTGGGACTGCAAATTCGTGCAGCCAATTTGGAAAGCAGTATGGAGATTCCTTGAAAAGCTGGGAACGGAACCACCATTTGACCCAGCTATCCCTCTCCTTGGATTATAACCAAAGGACTTAAAAACAGCATACTACAGGGACACAGCCACATCAATGTTTATAGCAGCACAATTCACAATAGCTAAACTGTGAAGCCAACCTAGATGCTCTTCAGTGGATGAATGGATTAAAAAAGTGGCATATATACAGAATGGAATTTTACTCAGCAATAAAAGAGATTAAAATCATGGCATCTGCAGGTAAATGGATGGCGTTGGAGAAGATAATGCTAAGTGAAGCTAGCCAATCCCCCCAAAAACAAATGCTGAATGTTTTCTCTGATATAAGGAGGCTGACTCACAGTGGAGTAGGGAGGGGGAACATGGGAGAAATAGATGAATTCTAGATAGGGAAGA